TTTTATGAGAAATAATAAGTAATTGTTTCTCTACGTGAGCACATCTATTAAGATATTTGTCCCAGTCCAAACCCCTGTCTTTATGAGTTGGGGTCAATACCAGACTCAGCAATGAAACAGATATGGTTTGACAGGTTTTTAAAAAACTATTTAAGCTGATTTTCAAAATATATTGTACAAGGAATAGAGTTTTCTAGATCTGGAAGTATTATTAGGTATCTATGAGGTATAAGTAGACTTATATCTTGGAGTTATATAGCAAGGCTATAATACTTTGCCTTATTTTTCTGCCATATTTTATGTTTAAAAACTCTAAAAAACTAGCACTAATATTAAAACTAAAGGGGAAAATGTGCAGAATCATTAAGATTAAGAAAAAAGGATGTAATCTAAAATGTCCCCAAAGGATTATGGTTCCAGAATAATACAGAACGAGTAACTAGGGGAAAATGAGAAACGGTATTAAAATTAAGCTGCAGTTATCATAGTTGTACTATGACAGCTTGCAAACTTTCACTATTCCATTTAAATTGAAGGAGAAGGATATAACAGCACTCTATTATAATATAACAAGGATCTGCATACGTGAAAACAACCAACTTCATATTTTATTTTATTATACATACCTACATTCTAAGACATTACTGGAGTTCTTTAATACAATATTTTTAAAGTTTTCTCCAAAGAGTGAAGGATATTCTTGGCTGACACTGTAAATTTCTGTTAAACTAATTTCTACTGAGATTTCAGGAAAAATCTCATAGCTTTATGTTCTATTAAAAGGATTGGATTACTGTATTTAAGAACAAAGTACAAAACAGACTTTCATTGATTTCAAGTGACTTTATCTTAATTTCACTTGACTAGATATCAAGTGACTTTGCATATAAACCAAATGTCTTTCTATTTTGATACCCAGATAAATTGTGCAAAACCCTACTTATTTCAGCAGCATTAATTGTCTTGATAGTGGAGTCTGATGGCTGTATACTACGTGGGCAGATTCATTTATAAAATAGGCTGCCTGATTTAGAGTTATTTCTCAACATGTGAACAGCAGCTATCTCAGCTACCCCTATCTACCACTAATCTATGAAGAGGGCTCAACCTGAAAAGCTTCCAACTGTGATAAGCAGGAGCTATACCATCCTTCAGATCTGCGACCAATAAGCTTGACTACGTGTCAGAAAAAGTCTGTGAATGTGCCAATTTTTTTCTACCATTGGCTCTATCAAGCTCCTTGCTAAACAACAAACCTCCTTGGGCTTGCAAGGAGCAGATGCAGCAGTGGCAAGAAATATAATATGCCATTCTCTCCAATACATAATACTGTAGATACAAAAAATGTTACAAAAACTAAGTTTGATAAAACTCATAGCAAGCCTTCTGCCATCAGTGCCTTGTCTTCCATTTCATTACATTACTTCTAATATTCAAAAGAAGTTGTGAGGAGTGATTGTACGGACAGTGAAGGAGATCATTATATCCCAGATACCGATACTGACAAGGAGCTGAACGTATCACCATCTATGAGCAGCCAGGAAACTATTCAGTTAGATTGGTTTCTACAGGCAGATCACTCTAACATGTCCCCCAGAAATGGAGCTATTGGTTCTTCTAATTGGTCCAAGCTTAATCCAACAGTAATCAACCAGAAGAAAAGAATTAATTCAACATATGTCACTCACAGGTAACTATTTGTCCAAACAAAAAAAGTGAAAAGTATCTTCTCTCCATTATGTGTGAGTAAATATCACTTTTGGTGAATCAATCATTATGATGGCAGCCATATACTGCTCCTGTCAAGATAGCACATCAGAGGTATTAATGTCCTGGAGAATTGACTTGGGATTCTCCAAATACTCTTTGTAGAAAAGCAATAGTGGGACAGTGACATGTTTCTAACTCATGAGCACCTAAGAACGTCTGGTTGACCACTCTGAGTCACAAACTGCTGGACTATTATGGGCCTTCACCTGATCTAGCAGGGCAGTTCTGGTTCTTATGACTATCAGAGGCTATGCAATTCTGAGGCTAAACTCAGAACAACACAAGGACAAAGTATAGCAACAGAATTTCTGCCCTATACCCATAATCTCAAAACAAGGGAACAGGTATTCAAACCATGTATTCATCAACACAAAAAGACAATTTCTTTCCCCTTGTCTACTGGGAATTGGTATTGAAGTTTCATCAATTACTGGAAGGATACAACTGAAAAAGATAAAACTTTTCAACCATAAGTCTGGATGATTTTCAGACATTTTCAACCCTAAGTTGAAAATGTTTGAACATTCAAACATTTTCAACCCTATGTCCTGGATCACTAATGTTAAACTAGTATGATAACAGAGCAGAAAAACAGATGGAAGAACAACTCTAGCTTCTGTAGACAATTGCCACCTAAACTGAGACATAAAAAATTCATTGCATACATCTTTTCCTCCTCACAAATGCTCCAAATGAGAATCTCCAAATATCCCCAGACAAATCCCAATAACTGTAATGCATCAAACACTCACTGTGCCACTTTACAGTTACATGCAAAATTTTAATCTCTAAGAATAGTATATGCAATCTACCTTCCTTTAAGCTCTCAAGGCAAACAGTTACAAATGTGACGTATGTCATGGCCCATATACAGGGTTTTACATGTGCTTGTTTGTTTATATGATTTATATAGTCACCCACCTCACACAGCTCATGCCCTGCTGCCTAAAGATAAACAGTAACCCTACATCAATAACAACAGTGCTCATCTACCCACCTGACCCGAATGCCTGGGGAAACACCGAGTTCTTCAATTTTTTGCAAAAGACTAACCAAGTTGGGGCCATTTGAATCTCCAGGTGGATGCTGTTCCACAGGGTAGGCACCGCACTGAGAAGTCACGATTCCAGGGTCCAACAAGATGGCATTGTTTAATACAAGGGACTTGGAGCATGCCTTCTCTACTATATGTGGGACAAGCCGAAACAATGGGAGAAAGGAGATCCTGCAACTAGCCTAGCCCTATGTCAGCCTTGTGAAGTAGTCAAGACAAGAAGCACACCCAGATGAACTAACTCTGTTTTATTGTAAGGTTACATTAACAGAATCTTGCAAGTCTGAAAGTATATTTCTCCCCTGTCATCTTTACAGCCCCAGAAACTAGGAAGGCTCCTTTCTGAGATGTTTGACATGAAAGTGCCTCTTATCCAACCATTGCCCTGGCTGCGGATCTTCCTCGTCTCCCAAGGTCATTCCCACATACCATTACACCCTATGCCATGGAGAACTTCATAGGTGATGACTCATGGAGAAGTGGTGTTACATGGGCATAACAAAGAATGCCAAAAACTGTCCACATCACTGCATTATGAACCAGTTGCAGCTTCCAAGTGCGTTTCAAGGGCAACCCCATATAGAGTGCATTACAGTGTACATCATATATGGTGTGGCGGGTGCAAATGTATATGCAAATATTTAGGCACTCATGGCCAAACTGTATGTTTCATGAACAGAAGCTGAAATAATCTTCACATGGTTTAAAGTTAAACACATAACCTTTCTACAAATCTAAATATATACTATATGTGAAATCATTTAGAGAAACGAAATAAGGAAACAAGAATATGTCTGATGCAAAAGTGTGACATCCAATCAATTAATACAACGTAACACCTTCTTTGGAGGAAATAACAGCTTCAAATATTTCCTGTAAACAGCTAAAGGTCTTTTTTATTCGGTTTTTTTTTTTTTAATTTTTCCCTACTCCTCCTTGCAGAACTTTTCTAGTTCAGAAACATCCATAAGTGTCCTTGGATAACACTGTAGGGTTGAGATCTTAACAGACTGCCAATAACATTCAAGTCTGAGGACTGCGAAGGACATTTCAAAACTTTTATCTGCAATTTGTAAGTAATTGCATATAGACAGTAAATATATATTCAAATTTGAAGTTTTTGTCTTTAATTTTACATTATGTAGGTTATGTTAGCTTCTATTCACTTCAGCATTCATTGATACGTACAATTTGACCAGGAATGCCTGAATTTTTGCATGCAAATGTATATTCCTGACATAGCGTAAGACCAAAATCCACTGTTTTAGGCCAAAATATAAATGGTTCTTACCCTTGTCAATAACCTGAAGATACCTAGCCTTTGGCCACACTTTTTCAGATGTGGCTTCAACTGCCCTTTTAGATTTATACAGCTGTTCCTAGAGGTGTCACAGTTCAAAAGGCTAAGACCTTCTCCCAATCACTACCTCTGTTCTTATACTGGTAAAGTATATCACACTGTTCATACAAGTAGTTATGACAATATTGAGGGGAAAAAATAATTCTTGCTCAGCCCTCAATGCCACATCTTTTCATGCTGCTGTTTTCCTATACCATGGAATATTATTGCCTGCTAAGTGCTGTCAGTCTTACCCATTCCTCCCCCACCTCATATATACACTTGGCTTATTATCCCAAGCAGTGAATAGAGACATAGAATTGATCTACTAAGGTCTTGAGGCCTGAAATATCTTTCTTCTCTTTCTGGTGTTTCTGTGGCAGTTACTCCTGTTAGAACATATTAGAGGACCCCAACCTCCATTCAGATCAATATGCCCTATTCCCCCCGCAAAAGCTGCAGTGAATAACTGGAAGGAAGGCAACAGCTAACTCTCATGATGATAAAAGTAAAATATTGTTTTTATTGAACAGCATTGGTTAAGTTGGAAAATCCTGACAGCCTTACACAAGAAAGGAGCCGTAGCTCTAAAACCACCTGTGTGATAGGCAGAAAAACAACAGCTGCAGCACTTCTTATCATTCCATGTTCAGTAAGTTGCCCATCTTGTATAATAATCTGTTATTCAAGCACAGGACTTCTGAAAGGACAAAGAGGGAGGCAGTCTCAAAGGAGAATTATTCCACTGCGGTTTTCTGCTTCAGGTTTATCTAGAGCTTCCTTATCCTGTGCATTACACTAGAGGTAGTGAACATCCTTGTCTCTTCATTTGCTGCTTGTCAGGTTACCTGCAGAGAAAGGATACATATGAAGTAGCAATGGTCGTAGTAGATCTTGTGTTTAGATGCAAGGTAGGTGGACAAGAGGTTCAGAGAAGCCGTTACTCTTCCATTTCTCATTACTCAGTGTCATTCCCCCTTTTGCCCTGTCCTTTCAATGTCCACATTTGATGGCTCTTCTACAGGTAACAGATAACGTAGTGATTAAGGCAGTACTCACCTATCTTACGTTGAGAGCTGTTGTGGATTTCTGATGGCAATGACTAATTTTTTTTCCTGCTCAATGTGTCAGATTTCTGATTCTGCAAAGAAAATAAGTTCATAAGTAACTAGCAGTTGTAAAAGTCTGGAATGTCTGATGCTCACCCATACACATGCCTGTAAATCCCACTGCCCTTACTTTTACTTATATTTACTTTACATTTGGGGCTTTGGGGCCATTAGGACCCTTCTTTCTGCAGAAGGCACTTGCTCTACGTCCCATTTGTAAAACTTGTTTAGCTACTATTGTCTTTTCTCATTATTACCCTGAGGCAATCTTTCCTTTCTCGATATTCCCCCAGTCACTGGCTTACCTCTGTGGGAAACTTTATCAATGCAGCCCCAGTTGCAGGATTGAAGTTGAAATTCCAGCTCTGTCCTTTTATCTGGAGTCCTGAGGCAGAGTATCTCTAAGGGTTCTGAGAAATCAAGTATTAAAATTATGCCCTCCCTAGGCCTTGGCTATGTGAGCCAAATACTTCACCAGATGTTCTCAATCACTGAAGTTCCCATTTATGAATGCCAAGCTCTGTAGAAGAGTACTGAAATCTTGCCCCCTGATGTATGAGATTTATGACCACTAGCTAGGTCTATACACTGCTGCTGAATTGTGTGGATGCACATCAGACCTATCCTCCATTCTAGTTATGAGGATAAAGGGGAAATATGTCTGGGTTTACCCATTGATTCAATAACATTATGCTGTCCTGGAGGCAGTGATGATTTCTGGGCAAAATGGCCATTCATTCCTGACCAGTAGCACTAATGTCAGTTATGTCAGTACAACAGTAACAGATTGACTTCAGTGACATACAGCAATACCAGATTCTGCTGGTGGTTCATAAAATGTATTGTTGACTGTTTCCCTATCTAGCAGATCTAACTTAAGGACAGATTGATTTTAGCTGCTTTGTCAAGAATATAACAACATGCATGCTTTAGCATTCAGTTCTTAACTTTTTTCACTGACAACTTTGATTTTAAGAATTTAAAACTTATTTTTAGCACTAAAGTTAAAATTTTGGGTTTGTGGGCTCTTGAAATAAAAACAGTTGTGTTGTTTTAAATGTTCCATACAATTTAGAACTCTGGATTGGAAAGCATTGGGTTAACGTGAATAATACAGTGCAAGTTTGGGAGGAAAAAATCCTCACAAAAGTAATTTTAATCCATTCTTTCTCCCTCCCTCCCTCTCTCCAGCCCTCCTGTTTTATGTTTGAAACTGTATGATTGTATTCATTCAATACATTACAGTACTATTTCCTCCCTTATTCTTCTGAAATAACATTTTTAAAGTGCCATTTTGAGCTTCTGTTATAAAAAAAGAAAGAAGCACTGGTGTTCTGTTCTTGTGAGCCTTTGCTCATTTTGAGTCCTGTTCCTATTACACAATAATGTGTTATTTTGTTGAATTCTGGCATCTATCTCACTCGTCTGGTCAAGTGCCAAAAATTTAGAGTGTGTCAGTCCACCAGTTCCTCTGCAGAGAAGCTCTCTTCTCGCCCAGCGAGTGTTCTGTGCTTTTGGATTGAGGCCAGGAGGGGAAATCCATTTTCCATAAAGAATGCACACAGCTCAAGTGCTTGAAGATTTTTTTTTAACCTACTAAAATAACTTTGTGGACAAACGCCAGCTTGCAAGACACGTTCGGCAAAGAACATTTGGCATCAAAAACAAGGTAAAGTAATCTGTCGAGGTAACAAAGTTTTTAGAAACAAGGAAATGACTGTAAGTGCATTCGTGGCATGTCATGTGATTTGGCACAGACTGTATGATTGGCCGGCACTGAAGTAAATACAGCCGCCATGTAAGGAGTCTGAAAGCTTCGCCCTTTGCTGAATTCTTAAAATGGCGGACTTACTGCGCTCCATGAGAAGCAAAATGAGAGCCAGTCTCAGATTTTTCTCCCCCTCTTTCTGCCTCTCTGAAGTTTTTATAAGCCTTACAGATTTGAGTAGAAACAGATTTCTCACAACTTGCTCTGCTTCTCAGTTTCACAGTTCAGCATACACTCAGGCTCTGTCAAAAGCTTGACAGCGTTCCAGGGAAAATATTAACTGTAAACTTTCCAACAGGAATTAAAGGAACAGAGCTCACATCAGGATGCTCCTCTTTTAAAAATATATCTAAGCCTGATGTTTAAACAAATTTGTGAAGTTTATGTTACAAGATATACAGTTGACACTGAAATAGACTCAAATGGGGCTCCGTTTCACCACGTCATGAATGCCATTAAAAAAGGACACATATCCTTTTTGGTGAAAGAGCCCAACTGCTCTCCCCCTTTCTTGCAGGCCTGACCAGTTGAACACTGCATGCTCTGATGTATAAATATTTGCCTCTGGCTAAAGTTCAAGCAACCCAGTGTGGCTGCCAGACACAACAGAAAACCAACTTCCAAGGGAAAGTGTTTACTGCAGCATTGGCCGAAGAAGCCAGCGCCAGCAAACTATCAAGTCTGATTGGCCCACGCCTGCAAAGGCTTATCATAAAGTACCTGGCTAGATGCCACTGGTGCGTTCCCACCCCTTTTATTAATGGCTGATTTATCTAACACAGCTTTTCCATGGTTAATATGTTTATAGCTAGGACCAATTCATTTACACGTCTTGTCAGTTTGAGAAGGTAGGATGAGTCACATGAAAACAGCTGTCCCATATTTTTACTTTCAGTATGGATTTTGAGCTTAATCCTCTGTTTATATAAAAAGGTACACTCAGAGTTAGAAATCATTCTTCTGCAAACGAACATCATCAGCTTAAGAGAAGAGGAAGAGCATTAATGAGGATAACAAGACCCAGTACATTTCCACACAATGACTTGTTTGACCTTTGCGTTTCTAAATCTAAGCCCCTCTTTGGGAAAAAAAAAAAATTAGACGTTTCTCATCCCTGCTGATATTGAGGAAGAAATGACAGTTCCCTCATGGCACAATGTTGAATTATGTGCAGGCTCACTAGGAAGAAGCCCTCAAGGCTACGTACCTCAATTTGAGGGAATATTTTTGGTAACTCTCTGGAAAAGTCTCCAATTCAATACAAATCTTAGCTACAAATCAGAGGGGGGGAAAAAACATATCCAGTTACAGTCAGCCGGTACACCCAGATGAGTGAAAAAAACTGAAGCATTTCAGAACGGACCCTCCCTAGTTTTCCAGGGAGTAAAAGGAAAGGTGGGGAGAATTACTTTCAGACTTGCAAGATTCTGTTAATGTAACCTTACAATAGGGATACAGCCAGTACTCCTGGTTCTGCTTCTTATCTGGATTACCCTGAAGGGCTAACATCATGTCCAGGAAACTATCTGCTCTGCTGAGACACCAGCTCCATTTGCCTCTTTTCCTCAAACTGTTTCCATTCAATTAGTCAGTGCTGCATGCCCAAATAATTAGACACATGGCTAACTGAAATACTTTCTGCATATAGATGTACATTTCTGGATCTGTAAAGAGATATACACTGCTCTCAGGTGCTAAATATTTCAGGCAATTAAAGGTGAGTCCTAGGTTTTCCCACTGCATTTTACTACGTTACCCACATTTTTGTTATAAAACAACGTTTCTTTGATTGGAGATTCTATGCAAACAATTATCCTCTCATATAGATAATCAACATTTTATCTTAATGTAGAAGTTAGATTGTTGCCGCTGTTTCACTGGTCAGTATTTCATATGGATTGCCCCATTGTTGCTATTGCTGTGTTTGACTTTTAGTTTCTAAATGTATTTTCAGATGTTGAGTTAAATAGTTTTAATTTCAGTTATAAACTGCTTTGGGAGCTCTTAGAGCTGGAAGGCTGTATATGAATCTATAAATAGATCAATAATCAAATACGGTAGATAAATAAATAAAAACTCCCAATGCATTTTCTTGGCTAGAAATAGCATTAGAGGCAACAGTCACATAGTGAAGGAAAAGCTGGTTGCAAGAGAAATAATAGCAGCAGGAAGTAGGAAAATTAGCTATAAGTCAGAGAAAAGAGAAGGAGGAGGCAGAATTTTAATTTAGATAAGTAGATAATTGGAAAATTATAAGAAATATAATGGAAGTTATAGAAATGATTGATTCAGAGCTGGTTCATCAGTAGAGAGGTTTTCTGTCTCCTTCTCCATTTAAATTTCCTTGTTCAAAATTAAGGTCACTCTTATGTTCATGATATACTGTATGCTGTGTTTTAAAAATTACATCATTGCACTGGAATGATAAAGTGTGTTACTTCAGAGGAGGAAAGGTAGTTCCAAGATGAATAAAGGCAAACCCAAGAGATTTAATTTATCCCACTGAACCCTATTTGTTCACAGAATTTACATTTCCTATTACCACAATCCTCTCAAAACAGGTTTATTTTAATATTTTCAAGGTACTGTAATTTCTTTTCTTGTAAATTCTAAGAGACAAGAAAATAAATCACTATAAAAGCAGCAGATCACAGTAGAGTTGAATGAATTTAACTGTGGAGACTTTCCTATTTTTTTTTAAAAAACTCTCAGTTCTATAACATTCAATCTGGAAAAAAATATTTCTATATATCAACATTCATTGTGGTCTACCATAGAGGAAAAAAAGTCTATTTACCCAAACCCATTTCTGTTTGAAATGCGTTTAACTAATTTAACCTACTTTTAAAAACTAAAGTTCTGTCATGTAACAATAGAAAGAATGAACATTTTAAAATAAATATAGCCCTTCAATTCATGATCAAATGATTTAAATAAAATTTACATAAATGTCACACTGATGCTCTAGTATGTTCACATGAATTAACTTGAATCAAACTAGACCAATGCAGAATTTTTACCATCAGGTTAATAAAATCATGTTGTTAGCTTTATATTATAATTTATCTGTTTATTTATAGTGTTTATATAACACAGTATTTTCAATAACATTCCCAATGGTTTATATGTAAAAACAAAACATTAACTTAAATTCAATTAAAAATAACAAATTAAACAAAAATGTACACTGACATACCATGTAGTGGTAGCAATTACATCTTAAATACTCTGTGGAACTGTACCATTTCTAAAGCCTTCCTAAACAATGTCAAGGTCAACCAAACATCTGGGGGAAGGCTGTTCCAAAGAGAAAGGGCTGCAAGTGAGAAACAGTGCCTCCAGGCTTCTTCATCAATATTTTGAATGGAGAGGAAACTTAAGTGTCCCCTCCTGTAATAAGCATTCAGAACAGGATGCTTTTATTTGAAGAACACAGTCCTGAAAAAAACTGGAAACCTTGAAAGACGTTATAGGTTAAAGACTTTATAGGTTAAAACCAGCATTTTGGAAACCTACTGGAAGTCACTGAAACACTCACAACTGGCATAACACAGCTGTAATGCTTCTCATCCAGCAGCAGATGGGTTGACCCATTCTGTATGAATGGCAGTTTACTAGTAGTCTTCATGAGCAGCCTAATGTAACATGCACTGCAGAAGTCTAAGACCTCCTACTTCAAGTTGGATTGCAACTGATACACTAGACTAATCTGGGCAATGGATCTCCTGGTTATAGTCGTCTTCTGCAAATCCAGCAGCAGCTGTTGAGTCCAATACAAGTCTGAAGTTGCAGACCTACTCTTTCAGGAGTGGTGCCACTCAGTCCAGAATCAAAACAAGAGTCGACAGACAGCCAGGTAGTTTTTGTACAAACAAGACCTCTATCTGCAAAGGTTTAATTTTAGCTTCTTTCATTCATTAAGTCCCACAGACTCTAGATTCCAGGCTGAGACCTAGCTGCATCCACAGCTTGACCTGAGATGGAGATGTTTAACTGCGTATTCAGGATACTGATACCTCATCCTGAACTGATTGATGACCCTCCCCAGCAGCTTCATATAGATGTAAAAAATCACAAGAGAGTGAGACAAGCTCTGTGGCACCACCCAGGGGAGAAACTACCAGGCCAACTTCTTAAGTCTTAATTTGCATAGCTGTACATTCAAATTCAGTAGTACAAATGCAAAAAAATGCCCTGGTACTTAATCTCATTTTCTACTGCGATTTCATGAAATGGCTCTGAACGGCTACACTTGGCTGGTCCCATCTTTCTCCAAATCACAAATCATCTGTGATGTCACTTATGTCACTTTATCTTAAACCTAGGTATCCCAGCACTAACAGTATCAAGAGGAGGTCAGACTGAAACACGTAACAGAATCATAAAGAAATGTTCTGTTCCACTGAGAACACAACACAATTAATTCTGGAAGATCCTTCCTTCTGTTGCTCTGTTTGTCAGAAAGGTCAAGATGATTAGTTCTTGTATACTCACTAGTAGTCATCAAAACAAAACATATGTAAAACCATAATGCAGACCAAGTATACACAGTGAGAAAGTAACCTAGTTACATAAATATGAAAATCTGCCTTTTAATAGTGTATTTGATCTGTATTTTAAACATTATTAGACAATAATAATGCTCAAATGCAGATGATATAATAAGCAAGTTATGTACGCATCCTAATTTTAAGTCCTAGGTCATTTGAATGAAAGGAGAATCTCAGCCCTTTTCTTTTTTTTAATCAGCAATATCCTATGCATTGGAATCCTAAAGATGTGTACTCCAAAGTCTCCTTCCATGAAAAATGGCCTATTCAATATTAGTTCCAGAATTTCAGAATTTTCTTAATTTTGTCCCTTAATATTGTCGCTTTACTCTGACAAAAGCTCTGATCAGATCTTGAAAATAACATTTAATTCTTCCATGCCATGATCAAAATATAGTTCCCAAAACTAAACCTGAGTATTCCAGCCCTATAGGAGATGAAAAAATAAAAAGCTTTCTCTAAAACTGGGGGATTTGAAAAATCACATTCTGGTCTTGGCCATCTGCTGAAATCCAATGGATCACTGGAATCTTTCTGTTTCTTTCAGAAGGTATAGCAGGTGACCTACCTTGGAAAAAATTTTGAACTGCCATAAATACATTAATGATAAATAATTAACAAATCCTGTAGATTAGTGGGGAAATGGAAAGTTGTTTAGCAATGGTAATTAGTGAACTAATTCCACTAGCCTATCAATCAAGAGTCTGAAACAGGCACCAATGTACACACAGAGTTCTTAAACAGCAGTAATTTCCCCAAGTATAAAATGATGCAAAAGTATAATGCACATCTAGAATTGTGTTTCACATTGCTGTGCTTGGGCAAGTCTTTCTATGTGCAGGAATGCCTTGTGTGCATATCAGCCCCTGCGCCCACAAGGACTGTACGGATTGGGGCTTTTATGTTGTGTTAATTACTGAATCAGCATATGTACCAAACGGATACAAAATGCTATACTCCATAAAATCCTACAACATGTGCACCTAAAGGGCATTTTAAAATGTTCAAACAATAATCAAATAAAACTAACAGCATCCAATTGTGCTTTCTTTCATTGTATATTAATGTCAGTATAGTCTGAAGTAATCAAAATGCCAGAAATATAAATATTCCCTTTAATGCCACTGAATCCATCATTTTACTAGGAAAAGGCTTAGCTGTGTTATTTGCAATTCCCCCACTGCACAACAATGTACATTACTGTCTGTAAGCTCTAATTTGGCATAGCGCATCATTAATGACCTGAATGGTGGCTGTTTCACACATACATATTTAATTACAACAGCTGAACAAATTACATATTTATGCTTTATAAAGGGGATTGCCAGTCTAATTCATTTGCTATGCATGCAGGTACAGGGCTCCATCTGCAGCAGCATCTGCACAACAAGAGCTAACAATTATCCATTGTGCAGTGAGTATATCTGGTGAAACCTGTAAGAGATGCAATCGCATTAACCACTTCACTACATACGTGCCATTATTTTTCTCAATGGCCCTAAATATTTTAAATAATGGATTATTAACCATAATGATTCCTTGCATGTCTTTCAGCACGCTCCCCAAAGCACTTTACAAACAATAATGAAGAAAACCTTGGGAAAAGCCCTTTGGAGGTACAACTCAATGCAGACTGGCTTTATGGCTGAGGAAGCAGCCCAAAGGTTAAGTGAAACTAAGATAGTACGACAAGGAAAAGAGCAAGAAAACAAAGCGACATCTTCTCTTTCTCAGACTCTTTCATACTTTCTCCAGGTAGCATTATTCGTCCATTGCTGGGGGTGGGGTGGGGGAAGTCCTAGATTCTTAAGGACTAATAGAGAAAGCATGAAAGAGTTTGAGAAAGGTAAGTGGCTGTTT